ATTATTTAAGATTATAATAAAAGGATAAGAATATGTTTAAAATGAAATCAAAGTTAAAAACGTTTTCGACTAAGTGATGATGACTTTTAGTCAATGAAACATTTTAAAATTTAATATCATTTTTTTAAAACACTTTATCTTCGTATCATTGTATTATATATATCCATTTTCATGTTTTACTAAAACTGTGACTAAGTTAGGGCCAATTTTGGCCTATATCCTAAAATATTTTGTTGTTTTAATTATTTTTTTGAAATAAAAGGTCAGAAAGTAAAAAAAAAACGTGTGGTCACTGATGAAGCTTAGATAAGAGGGTGGAACTTAGCCAAGAGATTTAATTATAACTTTTTTTTTTGTTTATTCTAGCGATGTTGTACTTTGTACCTGGAGGAAGTTTTGTTTTCTTTGAAAAAGAGGTAGCAAAGACCAGTTACATCCTGCGTTAATCTAATCGCGATTGCATCGTATCATTTCTTTGCTATAGTAACATTTTAGTTTGCAAGTCGAGGATTCGGGCAGCAAACTTTTATTCTGCAAAAGACACAGTGCAAATTAAAAAAAGTTTAAAAAACTAGAATTATTATTTCAAAATAACATTGTCAAGCTTCGTTTGCTGAAAATATTAGTTAGCCATGCAAATTATTGCATATTTTGGAGCATATTTCAAATTCCCATGCCTGGCAACACTATTTTAGCAACACAAGGTTCACAATGCGAGATTGGTGTGCATGCACCGAGGCTCGCGTACGCGAAAAAACCGGGTAAACTGGCCTTACGTCTTTAAAAAAGGCATAATATGGCTTGAATGAATGATCATTAAAAGCATTGATATAATAAATTACATTTTCCTTTTCGAAATTTAGTGACATTTGTTGTTAAGCTTGAATTTTGGATCTTGCGGGCTGCCTTTGTATCTCCCCCGTGTCAATCAGAAATGCATGAGCGGACCAGCGTATTTGCAGTACTTGATCTCTGGACTGCTGCTGAGCTGGGCGGTATCAGATAAACGACGCAGTTATAGCGTTGAGGCGAGCATTTCAAGCGCTGCCAGTGAGGGTCAGTGAGTAAAATGAGTTCTACAAACTCCCTCGATTCATACTGCGGCGTTACAGCTGATAATAAAGATGAAATGGTGAAGGAAATTGCCAAAGTAAAGTCCGAAAAGATGGCCTTACTCAAGGTACGAACTTACATTCAGGTGTAGTAGAAACAAATAAAAATGTATTACAATGCAACTTGGTAGAATTTGTTTTTGTAGCTTTCTGTATAATATTATTGCCCATTTATTATTTCTAAATTGCTTAATGTATGTCTAGGTGTAGTAGAGTACAAACATTAAATGTGGCCAACAATTTCCACTATATTTACTACAAAATAGTGTTAATTAAACAGTAGAAAACAATAGAATTAACATAATTTAGCAGCATTTAGTGGTATTTATGTTGCACAGTTTTAGTGTTTGTACTCTATCGTAAGTTTGTGTGGTATTTTTGTGTTGTCATTTTGACTTTGTTCACATTTATAATGGAGAGTACAGTGTGTTATTGTTGTTATATTTTTTTGTTTTTTGTTTTGTCCTACTACATACATGACGCGACATCTAAAACACTTTAATTCAAAGTTTTACCCAATGTAGGCGCTGAAATACGAAATTACCGTGCATCGTGGTCTAGCTTTGGTAGGATTCTTGCACCCAATATAGACCACAATGCAATGGTAATGTTATAATAATTTCATTAAAGGACCATTGCAATTGCGCACCAATGGTCAATCGATAATCGCCTTTTAGATAATCTGCAATAAATAGTCGAGCTTCGCGATCTCTTTTACGCTGTGTTAGCCTCAATTGTGTGCTAAAATATTCAGAAATGTAGATAAAACTCGTAAGATTTCAAACTATTTCCATTGTCTTCTATACTCACGAATCTCTTGCATTTGCACGGGCTGTTGTTAATAAAAGAATTTATTACATGGTTTTGAGGCTAACACAGCGTAAAAGAGATCGCTAAAAGGGTTTATTAACATTGACAGAGTGTAGTTGCAATGATGAAGAAAAGAGGAATCCAGTTCTGGTTGGATTCTGGGACACTTCTTGGAGCTTACAGAAATGGRAAAATGATTCCMCATGACTTTGACATTGATCTCTCCGTCTTTGGAGAAGATGACTTGAACGCTGCTCACGAGGTTCTCGAAGCAATCAAGCCAGACAACTACCACGTCAGGTACTAGATCTACTTCTAATTACCTTATTCGGCAAATCCATCCAATAGCCCTCACCCCCCTTTATGCAATTTTCGATAACCATGTTACCATGGAAATACAAAGGAACGTTGCCTTGTGGTCTAGATTGAGTGCCAAGGACACCGTATTGCTGTATAAAAACAAAAGATGTTAAAATGTTTTCGTACGTAGGATTCATTATAAATACTCAGTTTTGTTCCTTCTACGTGTGTTTTAATATTAAAACACACGTAGAAGGAACAAAACTGAGTATTTATAAAAACAAAAGATGTTTGTACCGAATCTAGGCCCCTTGCAATGCGTAATGCTATTTGCTACAAAACCATCCAAACACGAGAGCCAACATTGATGGAGGGAAAAGGGGGCTAGCGGGGAGGGAGGAGAGGGGACTGCAATCATAAAAAGAAATGAAAGATTTCTGCATTGATAGTATTTGCAACAAGCATAAAGTCTGATAGTTAAAAAAAAAACTCGAAAAATATTAACTGTTTATTGTCAATACGAGCACTAAATATCATTATTATTATAATAAATTATGTCACTCTCATTATCATAAATCATTATTTTAGTGATAAATGAACTTCTTGGCTGTAAATGTTTCATTCAATTTATCGAATAAGAGTGCTGCGAAATCTAGCTACCTAGACTGCGTTTACACTACTGGAAGCATTGTAGTTATTCAAACTTTGATCTAAGAAAGAACATATCATTTTAGTAATAGCGAACTTTCTATTTGAACTGTGAAATCAACGTTTTCAACAGCTGAAGAATGAGCCAACTTAGGGAAGAGTTTTTCGTGTGAGGAGAATGTGCTAAAAACTCGGACGATCATGCATTGAAAAGGAGTCATTCTCTCTTTCCAGGAAGGAGGGTAGTTATAATGCCACAAACAACAACAACAGTTTACAACAGTTTATTTATTAAATCACTTTAATTACATGAATTGAAAACAAGCGACAACATTTTCCTAACAGTGCTTTTCTGTAGTGTAAACAATATGCACCGTTGAAAGGCAGGTCGATTCAAAAGGTCCTGGTACAGTACAAGCCCATTTCCAGAGATCTTGATTTGGTATCTCTCTCTCTCTCTCTCGTTTGAATGTCTTCACTTTTGATTTTCATATGGCGTAAAGTTAGCCAGGACGAGAAATTGAAGCAAGTGGCTTGATATTGAGGTTTGAATAAAATGCCCCGCGATCTGGAAAAGATGGCGTTGCTGCTCGCAATTGCAAACCATCTTTCTTATTAACAATTTCAAATTTCTACATCTTAATCTTTGACTTTCCTCGAGCAGTGCGACATCTTTTTTAGCAGCGTCAAAAGCTGGCATTTTTTATTAGTATTGGTTGTGGTTTGTTGTGCTTGTTTTATGTTTTCATTATTGGTGTTCATGACGCCCAACAGGATTTGACATGTGTAAAAATCCAGCACCATGTTGGAGAGTAGCGGAATTCGGCGCAAATTCAAAGAAACGAAAAGAGATCGAGAAATAGACTTCTGAATCTTTTACGCCACTTCTTGATAATTCATTGTGGGTTCAGTTTCTAAGAAGAATTCCACCATGTTCTGTCGCAAATATTTCTACAATGCATTGTGTATACGGTACATGACGTAAAAGCTTCAGAGGTCTATTGAGAGGATAAATTCAGTTCTCTAGATCTACTATTTACCAAGAAAGTTTTTAAAATATTCACATCATCTTCATATAACATAACCAGGGGCGTATCCAAGGAGGGAGGGGTCACAGGGTGCACGTGACCCCCCTTTCAAAGGGCAAAAAAGCGTAAAACCATAGATAAATATGGCACCTTGTTGACGTCATATGACGTCACAGTGACA